TGTACGTAAATGCATACTACACGAAGAAATGTACTTATATGCATACAACACGAAGAAATTAATGTATATGCATACTACACGATGAAATGCACGTATGTGCATACTACACGAAGAAATGTACGTATATGCATACTACACAAAGAAATGCACGTATATGCATATTGCACGAAGAAATGTACGTATATGCATACTGCTGAATACATATATACCTGATATACGACAGATTCAGTCCACGTACGCTCATCGTCTGCCACATCCCCAGTACATGCGAGGCCAATACTCTCTACAATTCAGAACAGCACAGAGGTTCCCACAATGTTATCCAAGCACGTGTATACAAGTCTGCACACACACACAACCATACGAGTACGTGTATACACGCCTGCACACACACACAACCTTACGAGTACAAACATGTGCACAAGAATGTACGTGCATATACTGGTGTGCATATACCTGATACACGACCGTTTCCGCCCACATAAGTACGTTTTCTATCTAAACACATTTACAAAAAAACACACACTCAAACACCTGTACGCGTACCCACATACGCATAAGAATATACGTATACGTATATACACTGGTGTGCCCATACCTGATATACGACCGTTTCCGTCCACATACGCACGTCTTCCACCACATCCCCGATGTTTGCTGGGTCTGTGCCCTGTACTGCAATGACAGTCAAGTCTAGGCTGTCGAAGTACACCTCCATGAACTTGGCACGCCAGATCTTCGCCTGGGCGGCCGTCTCGCACTCGCAATCATCCATGTCTGTTAATGTGCATGCAATTGCGTTTGATACATAGGATGTTTGGGGTAGGTAGATATGAGATCGTCTAGTTTGGGTTAATATGTACACACAAACTCAAGGAATAACACTGGTATGCACGACACATCGCATACACATACACATACACAAAAACACACATGCACATACACATACACATACACATACACATACACACACACCACGTGCACACCTGGTCTGAATATAGCACAGCGGTTTGGTTTCCCACATACTTTGGCGATCGCAGGCACAGATGGGCTCTAATGTATCCTCTGCGTGAATGATACGTGCTTGCGGTATGCCTGGTCTGTCTACGAAGAACGCACTCACCACTTCATTCTGTAGGGGTGCATGGGTACATGGGGGGAATACAGTGTGGATGAGAGGGTGAACGCAAGGGCCGATATATATATACATATATACATATATATATATATATACATACACACACAGACACACACACACACACACACACACAAATATATATATATAAACATACAGACATACACTCCCCCCCTCACAGACACAGACATCGACATCGATATAGACACAGACAAAGACAATGGCATGTACATAGACATACACAGACACACGTACACACATACACACACACACACACAAACACACACACACAAACACACACACACACACACACACATACACACAAATACACACACACACACACACACACATATATATACATATATATAACTCTGATTATTATTCATACCTGTTTCTCAGGCAGGAAGTACGACGCCTGACTCAGCAGCCCGTAGTCTATGACAGTCAGTCCATGCCAATGCCTACCGCACACAGAGTAAAGGGGCACGGCCGAGGGCGTCCACTTAGGCGACTGTCCTTTGCCCCACTTTGGGTTCACGCACCCTCTGTTCGAGTCTTTAGGACAGGTGTCCAAGTTCACACCAGGGTCTGATCTAGGGTTTAGGGTGTGAGTGGTGGTGGTGTTGGGGGGGTCGGGGCTTGGGCTGTAGAGACTGTCGTGCAGGCGACTGACGGGGCGGGCGATGCATTTGGGGTTTAAGTGTAGGTTTAAGTGTACAAAAAGGGAGAGTTAGTAAACGATAAACTGAGTTTGTTGCATTTGGATTAACTATACATACATGAAGATATTCAGTCGCTATTGTCTGTGTACATGGATATGTACAGGTATCTCTTAGTCGGTGTCTATGCTTGGGTTTAGGGTTTCTGGTGACCGGGTGGTCATTTACAGTAGAGCCTGTCGTGCTATTGCTGTTTGTAGTATTCGTATATCCTGTCGTGCAGACGGTTGGGTGGTCCTGCGTTGCAATTGGAGTTCACCTATGCCACAGATTATACCAATACACTATTGCTGTTTGTAGTATTCGTATATCCTATCAAACACACAGGTACATATATTGTCATATCAATATACTATTTTTGCGTGTAGTACTTGAGTATAATATTCTATTGAACACATCGGTACATATATTGTCCTATCAATATACTACATTTGTGTGTAGTATTTGAGTACAGTTTGAGTAAACACACAATATATCCCATGTGTATATCCTTCTGGTTGGTGTGTCACCGGGTGTCTCTCTGAGAGGAAGCGGCGTGTGCTGTGTTGAGTGCGTGTGTGACTCATGTGTGTCGGGCTGACGGCCGGCTGGGCGTACAGCGCAGTTGAGTGAACGAATATATCATCCGATATACATTTAACTAAATCTTTATATTTGGTAATTTATAGAGACCTTATATTTCGTAACGTAAATCTATATATCTGGTAACGTTACGATGTATCATAGCAATCTATACCCACCCCTGTACCATCCGCAACTACTACCAAGTAAATAAGTTCCTCAAATCACAACCAACACAAACCTTACCCCAGCACACCGCCCGTCCCGGAATCCGTCCCGTTATCCGCACCCCACGTGGTCATATTCTTGTGGAGATCCCATTCGATGACGTGAGCGTTGTCTAATTTTAGCGCCGATGATGTGCTACTGAAGTAGATGGGGGCCTTCAGATGCGATGCATAGTCTTCTTGTATGTACGCGAGCATGCTCAACGTCATCATGACTAGGCCAAACACAAAGCCGACCCCAAGCTGTTCATTGGTAGAGATAGCACGTAGATGTGTATAGATGAATGGAATATGTGCTGACGTACACACACACACACACACAAAAATATAAATATCAATATAAATATAGATATAAATATATATACATATGATATAGCGTAGGTATTGTCCATTTTTAGCTCAGCAAGAGTGGAGTGGATATGAACACAACAGACGCTTTCAGATATCACACGCAGTCCCTCTGCAGTGCGGATATACAACGCAATTCCTGCCGTCTCGTTGGATTTTAGGGTTTAGGGTTCGCTTGAATTGGTCATGGAGTTATCAATGATATGCCACTTTGGTGCTACGCAATCTGTGCTGTCTCTCGAAATGCCAAAGATCATTCACTTCGTACTTATTTTCATTGACATTCGTAGTGATAAATATATATACCAACACTACAACACACACACACACATATACAAGGGAAAGTACACAAAACGGATACTTTCTAACACACACACACAAACGTATATATATATATATATATACAATTTTTTTTTCACAGACACACAGACACAGACACAGACACAGACATATATGTATGTATATATATACATACATATATACATATATACATATATACATATATATACACTCACATACACACGCACACGCACGTACCAGCATCTGCGCCGTGAACCGCACTGCCTGTGTTAACATGGATGTGCTGCGCATTTCGCGGCGTCTCTCAGACCGCCATTGGGTGTTGCTTTCGTATTCCTTCATTCGTCTGAGGGTGTCGGCTTCAATCGCATCACGGACCTCACGCTTGGCCGTATTATTAGTCACTCTGTGGGGGTGTGGTGTTTGTGATCGAGATGTGGTGAAGGTACAATCACACGGAAAAAAAATAGCAGGGCTGACACACACTGTGGGTATACAAAGATGCCGTGAGTCTCTCTGTAGGATAGTGACATATATATATATATATAATATATATGGCACTTACTTGCGCGTCAGTTGGGTGCTGGTGTCCCTCTCGCTTGCACCTCTTCCTTGGTGGGGTTCTGTACTATCCGTGCTTTGTTCGTTTATGGTCATCTGTTGTTTTTGGCGCCCTTTTTCTTTCTTGGCCTCCAAGGCCCTCTTTCTGTTTATATAGGCGACGAGAGAGCACCAGTTGATATATACGATACAACCAGACAGCCACAGACACAGACACAGACACAGACACACACACATGTATATATATACACACACTTATATATAAATATATACACACCTATCTTGTACGCTCAGCAGCTGGTCCGTAGAGTAGTCGTGTGTAGATGAGTGGTAGCCATCCACGCGACTGAATTGGAAGGCAAGCATTGACGCTCTCTTGCGATCCATTTGTTTCTGTTTATCCTTATGGATGTACTTGTCCAAGTTATATTTCTCCCCTTCGTCTCTCCCGCCGACTTTGTGAGTGGGTTAAAATGAACCAATCAGATCACAGCTATAAATAGAATGATACCGCCTGTATGATATATAATGCTCTTGCGTCGTTTCTGTTGCCCACGGAGTTGATCCGATTGAAGCTATTAAGAACAGGCCGATGAATACAGAGACATATATATATATATATATAATATATATATATATATATATATATATATATATATATATATATATACACACACACACACACACACATATATATATATATAGATATAGATATAGATATAGATATAGATATATATATATAGGGAGAGAGAGCACACCAACGCACACCAACAAATTATCAAGTTTGTGGCACCACGAGTAACCAATCTATGACAACGAGTGACCTATATCAGCATGACCCAGAATCTCCAAGGAACGCATGTATTTGCAACTATGCATACACCGACACAACGACACAAAGACACACAAAGACACACGGACACACACGGACACACACACACATATATATATATATTTATAAATACACGTAGGCACACATGCAGTCGATAAGAATATCCAACGATAGATATGTGGTTGCTGATATACATAGTATGCTCACAGCATTGTTTGTACTGGCAAATAGGCAACGTTCTTACCCCAATTTTGTACAATTAGACTTACCAGAACGAGATTTAGCCATGGTTGTTTCGGATCCCGCTGACCCGCCAATTTTCGGGACAATTTGAGATTTGGACGGCGAGATTGGCTTTCTGTCCTTGTTTCTCAACGGGGACGGTGACCCCACCCCACCCATAGCAGGGCTGCCTGGTTGCCCTTTCTTCTCCAAAAAGGACCGATCAAGTACAAAATATGAAAATTTGGGACAATGAATTGTGTAGGGACACACACACACATAGTGATACTGCACGTTTTCACGTTCATGTATTGGATCTTTATGTATGGTACAACGTTTTCACGTTCATGTATTGTATCTTTGTGTATGGTACAACGTTTTCACGTTCATGTATTGGATCTTTGTGTACGGTACAACGTTTTCACGTTCATGTATTGGATCTTTGTGTATGGTACAACGTTTTCACGTCCATGTATTATATCTTTGTGTATGGTACTTAAAGGGCAAATACACTTGCTGCACCGATCCACAGGGGGGTATACACACGAATGGATATGAAACCCTAAACCCTAAAATCCTGGAGATCATCATCGCTTCCACAGACACGTATTGATATTTCTTTTTAAAATGCAGTTACGCTTGTTGACTGACAAAGTTATAATAAATAAATATATGCACTGTCCTGGACTACATCACCGGCAACCAGACAAACACTCATGAGTGTAGACACGCAGATATTAGCATTCTAGTATGTGTAACTGGAAGCTTACACAGACCCCAGGGAATACCTGTACGGAGAGTTAACTATCAAACCAACGAACGCTGCACATGTGGATATACACATGACTATGTATATGCATATTATAGCAATGTATATGCACACATACACACAGACACACATAGACACACTAAAACACAAACACACATAGACACTAAAACACAAACACACAGATATATAAAAAATAATAATAATATATTCAAACAATAATAA